AGGGAAATACAGTTTTGGCATTAAAAATGTAGAACAAAATTGAGGGAATTTATTAAATATCAGGATATCGCAACATATGGCACTGAGAAAAAGAATAAATGTTAAACATCCGTTCAACTGTTTTCAGTAAGTGGAAAATCATCCGTTAGTAAGCCTGTGTGAATCACAAATATGCTTAAGAGATATGACAGATTAATTTGTTTTTGCTGTTGTGTCACACTCCTATTTTCAGATAATCGATTAAACATTTCACAGTGCTCTCTGAACCCTGCTTTAAACCGCCTGCCGTGTTTCTTGGTCTCCATGAGGCTGGAGTTAAACTGAGATTACGCTACAAACACCGTTTTTACTAATTAGATACCTGTGGAAGGTAGTTGGCTGTGCTGGATTTTATTTAGGAGTATGGGAGTAGAAGTGGTGAATACAAACAAATTAAAAACTAGAATAATTTTCTTTTCATTTCAAACTGATAGTTTGTGTTGGTGTATCTCAGAAAATGCATTGAAATTTCCCGTAGTGAATGTTGTAAAGTGGAAATAAGTTCAGAGGATTTGTACATTTTTGCTTTGCACTGCTCGTGTTACTTGTAGACATATATGTATTTTAGACGTATATTTTGTATAAATTATTACAAAATAATTTATAGTTATAGATGTATAGAACCTAGCAATTGATATTAGGGTCTTTGAAAACTGTACTGTACTTCAAAAACCACCACTAGGATTATGTGATGTTTTCTGAAGCAGTTTTCACAAAAACATGTTTACATTAAAACATTTCAAAGTTTGTTTATTCAAATACCGCTCCTTCACATGGGAAGAGTCGAAGACTGCAGAGCATTTTAGAGGACAGCAGTTGCTCTTACCATCTAATATTAGTAAACACTTTCTTACAAACTACAGCAATAAATAGGAAAACTATCCTTGCAGAGAAAGTTTGTCTAACTTAGGGAGCAGAGCTTCTGCTTCGATCTCACTCAATCTCAGGAGAGAAAAAACAAAGGTTGAACATTTCCAGTTAGGAGAAATGAGGGATCTGGTGATTTGCTTTGTCTGATTATTTTTCCAGGGTTTTTTTTATAACATTCTGGGTATTTGAATAAAAATATTAACCTTGAATTTCACAGAATAGTAATAGGGTCTAGTCATCTGTGGGGTTCACAAGATTGAAACAACCCAATGCTTAAACTGGCTTTTCAGACGATGATTTCAAGATGGCATTTGGACTAACTTATATCACCTTTATTTTAAAATCTAAAAGCCTTTAGAAGAATCTATTTTGCTAATGAAAACTCAGAAAAATAGCAGGTTTATTGTTTTGTTTGGCGCTTAAAACACTGTTTAGAAATCACCGTCCCAGTTCATCATGAATTTAAATTTGTTAAAAGTTCAGATTTTTCAATGAGTCTGCAGTCAGATTACAAGATTTAAAATACTGAAACTCAATAAGTGACTTGGCACATTAAAGAGTTAGTCAATGTGAAAACCACTGCCTTTATTTAGTGCGATTAAACTTTCATCCTTTCTTAAATGCATATACTCTCATCCTTTCCTAAAAAGGTAACAGGTAAAAAGCCTTTAAGTCAAACAGCTTTCACATACGAAAATCATAAATGCATGTTTAATCCTTTCCTATACTTTTCAAGACTGCAGAGGCTCATGAATGACCATGGTTCATTTGAGAAACGGCCTAAGCTGAGGATTGAACCATCAAACCTTTCAGCACAGCACAGCCACTGCACCTCATGGGACAATTTAGGATACAGCTTCTGTTTCTTTCTGGTATTATTTTCAAAAATATCCTTAAGATTAAAATATTACGAGATACAGGACAGATTTAGAAGTGATAAAGTGCTAGATCTCCACTCATGCCAATAGAGATCTAGCATTTTTCCCAGCATCGGTGAATAAGACGTCCCTGGATGTGAATAATCTGACAAGCTGCTAAATGTCACTTCTTGTTGACATTTAACAGTTTTCAACGTGATCAACTAGCCGTAAAATGTAGAGCATTAAACTCTTCAGAGTCATTTAATAATTTGATTATTTTGTATGTCATTTGATTTAGGCTTGCAAAGATAATGCCCCATTTCTCACCGTTTAGATTTACCTTCACCTGACTCAAATTTGAATTTCTGTTAAGAGCACCTCAATCTTTATTGAAAAGTAGATTTTTTATTTATTTATATGTTTGTTATTAGGAAGGATATACTCACCTATCCAACACTCCAGCCTGGCACAGGGGGATGTCTTGACCACATCAGGGGGGTCCACTCCCACATTGAGACACAGAACCAGAGCAACACTCACTGTCTTCATCTGTAGGGACACACACACACACACACACACACACACACACACACAAAAAGCATGTAATCCTGTCAAAAATTGGATCGTTTTCAAAAGCCCCACTTTTCTTTTAAGAAATAAACTCTCCTAAGAAACCACGTCTGTAACTAAATTTGTCTAGAATACCTTTGCACCAAACTTTTAATATGTCTTTTATCTGCTTTAACTTTTGAAATACAGACTGAACAGAACCTATAAATATCAAAACAGAAAAGTATAACGCATATTTACTGGCAGCACCACATACGCCAACACTAACGCAGGAAGTGAGTAAAGACGTAAACCTGAAAAAGAAATAAAGTAAACATTGATTTGTGGGTTATGTTGCCAATCCTGACACACATCACCAGCCCCTGGCAGGCAGCTTAGGTTCCCTGCTGCGCAAATTAAATATTGAACTAGCAGGGAGCCATTACCACCTGAAACACTTTCCGTTGTGTCATGACAGACGTCAAGCTTTTTGACGTTGTGTGGATTCATCCTGAAGCTCCTAATGAGCCTGAATCAGGTCACCTACCTAAAGAGCTGAACTTGCACTCACCTGTATGAACAGATGTGAAAGAACTGCATTTATAGAAAAAGACTTTTAAAAACAGAAATGAAAATATGTTTCTTTTGCAATGCTCACTAATTGCTTGTCTGAATGCAGTATAATTTTTCCTTTGCTGTCTAGTGCTTTAAGGCATCAATATTTCAGTCAAGTTCTTATTTTTCAGGACACACCAAACACTTTTTATGAAAATCCTGGTTCAATACTGATTGTATATTTACTGAAACTGATTTATAGTCCACACAATATTGTTTATTTGATAATAAATGTTGCCAAGTCAGATGTGAGTTCATGAGGGTTTTATCAAAGTTAATCAGGAAAGATAATATTTGTTCTCATCTTTTCTGTTATGACTGTATACTTATCAGGGACTTGTGTTTAACTGTCTCCCTTAACAGGGCTACCACCTGCTATGAACTTTGGGTGCTCCCAGTTTTTCTGCATCATTGCTTCTGTATTGATAAGTGTCTCTTTCTTGGACGGTACCACTGACAGAACTATTGTTGCCGTTAGCTACATGTCCCCTCTTTGTCATACAAAGTGTTTCTTCATTTAGCCGTTTCTCAATCCTGGTTGTCACCATTCACAGAGCTTATGGTGGAAATAGCCATGTTTACGCTCTTTGTTTTCCTTGCCAGTAGAAAGTACTCCTAGCTCAGTGCAGCTGTTTGTTTTTACAGGGACATGCAAGGGCTATTGCTACTTTGACTAAATATGCTCAACGCTTCTCTGTTGAGCTGTGTTTCTCTCCTGGACGGAAGTTATTGCTGCCTTTCAGTTTGTGTATTCTCTATTTTCTTTTTATTGAAAACAGAACATAATTAGAAAGAACGATGCGTTTGGTGACCACTATCATTGCAACATTCCCGATCGTTTTCTGGTACCATTACTAGCTAATAACTTAAAGATGACTTTGATATGTAGGTCATAACAGCACAGCCAGGCGACCTTTTACAAACACCGTATTGTAGACCCACTGAGCATGTGCTGCATGTCTGCTGTGGGTTATGTGCAACCTTCTGGCTGAGCAGGTTCTGGAGGCCTGTTATTGTGAAACTAATTAAGCCCCCCTGTGTCTTCCCACCAAATGACTAAAAGGTCAGTATGCCAGTGGGACTCAGTGGGGATACACTTGACATGTACATGCAGCCTTATACACAAAGGCACAGTAGATTACATCACTTCATTCATTTAAGCTTGATTTTTTTTTTCACGCCATGCCCTTTTCTTCCCTGCACAGTGAATGTCAAGACCTATCCTCATGAATGTAAAGTTCTTTGACAGTTTTCAAGTCCAACGTTTGAAACAAAGGAAACAGCTGTGCTACACAACTAAAAAGTGATGCACAAATGCCTCTGCAGTTGCATCTTACTATATAAAAGTTGGTGCAAGTGTGCGCTAGCAGTAAAGTTATAAAAATGGAAAACTTTGCTTGGCAGCCTTTAACATAAAACCTGAGAAAGTTGAAAAATGTACATCTTTAGGGTAAAATAATTTTTATCATTTTTACAGTTTAAAAGAAATATAGCCTCTTAGCTCGACAATAAATTGTCCCAGAAATTATTGCGATAGACGATAACGTTGTTTTGGGACCATTTTCAACTAATATAATTATGGCATAATAATACAAGTACATCCTCTTAAATATCAATAAAACTATAATTTCTACAGACCAAGTAGAGCTGGAACTGGAAGACATTTTAAATGTCCAATAGCACTAACGACATAACCAAAAGTAATAAGTGAAACTGAAACAAACCCCCCCCAAACACAACCAAAATAATAAATTAAATGCATTATGAAGTATCTGTGAACAAAATTGCTCCTCAAAAATATTAATCACTGATCTCATCCTTCAGCTAAAAGAAACAAGAAGAGAAGGGGTCAGTCGAGATGTACTAGAGTGAAGCCTTTTGTCATCCACTCTGGTCGAAATACAGACAGGAGGAAAACAAACATGCATGCAAATTGAAATTATTGAGTTCATTCTAATTTATCGTGCAATTAATTGATATATTGCTTATTTTGACAGGCTTACTCTTTGATAAGGAAAAAGGTTTGCTGGGCCTCGCCAATTACTCCAAGTCCCATTTTATCTGTCACCAGTATAAAGTGAAAATATGCCTGATTTATATAGTGGCAGTTCTTGCCATTTGCAAACAGAAAGTAGAAAGAAGAACTCAAAACCCAGATGTCTCTGTGTTTATTGTAAACAATAAAAAAAGTTTGTTTTTGTTTTTTTAAATTAAAGCGTTACATGCCAAAAAATGGTCCATAATTTTGTTTTATGCACTCTACAAGCTTGCACTGTCAGAGAAAAGATGTGGTTTAACAAGAAAGAAAAACATGAGATTTGCCCTTTAAAATACACCATCTGAAAATGGCAGGACAGTTTGGAGAAATATGATCTGGAAGGCCAGAGGGAAAAGAGAGATGTTTCTGTCATTCCAGGTAAAATGTCAAAGCAAACTGCTTGGAAAATTGTAAGGTCATTTCCCTTTTTACGTTAATCTGAGCCAGCAAATGCCAGGAAAACCTGATAACTCACCAAACATCAGTCACATCACTGAAGGCCCAGCACCACAACAATGTTAATTATGATTACGATTAAGTGGCTCACTACAGGAAGATAGTCAAAATCCTATTAAAACAGCCCTGATTACATTATTTATTTTGATCCTACATCTGACAGAGGTAATTTACAAAACATTTGATTCTCATTTACACTCAGATACACCAGATAAATGTGGGATTTTTCACAATCCAACGTGGCATTTGAGTATGACAGCACACAGATGTGCTCCACATTATTCTCATTGATTTATACGCTTGTTTGTTTTGAACCGTAATACAGACACACGCACACAAAAACAACACAAACAGGAGGGCCGTCGTCAGCCTTCATAGCTTATATTAATAAAACAGTTTGTGCCCCGAGAGAAGCTGTCAGATTTAAATCGTTGCTGATTTAGTGGGGTGAAGTGGCCGTGAGCATAAAATTGACTTAAATCAATAACAAATCTGAGTGTGAGCGGTGAAATAATGAAGAAAGGTAATCTCATCCTTAAACTTTATGCGTTTGTAAGAATTAGGTCTGCTGTGGCAATACAAGATCTCCAGAGCTACATTTATCTTTTTGTAAATGAGCAACAAATGCTGAATTAAAATATATGGCAGCTAACAATACAAATATAGCACATTTGACGTGATGACATCTAGCAGGTATATTTCAAAAATATACCTGCTGTTCCTCCAAATCTACAAGTCATATAATCAATGTCACGGTACAATATATGCGCCTGCTTTATGGTTATGACATCAGAATCTACCTCAAGATAAAGAAAATGTTAATGAAGTCATGTTTGGTTTTCGCCGATGACTTTTTCTTTTTCTTCCCACTTGTTCTTAAGATGTTTTATCTTCTTCAAAAACAGTTGGGACCAAATGGGCCGACTAAAAGCCTAACTCCTCTCGAGGGCGTCTGAATCTGCCTGACCCTCTCTTTTCACTTTGTGCTCACAACATGTTTTCATTTGGTTGGAACTCCCACTGGTTTCAGGTCCTGCATTAAAATATGGACTGCATTATAGTGCCACAGTGCCTATGGAAAACCCAAGGCACTGTTTTCTATGCGTAAACTCCACTCGACAAAGCATTAATAAATTACACAATGTCTTCTATCAGTGTTATGCAGGTGAGAATCAGCTGTACTAGACCTTCATAACTACTAATGATGGTAATCTTAGTGACTGATATGTGAAAGTATGCGTGGTAGAAAATATGGGTCAGTTGGGATCAATACCCTCAACACAGTATTATATCAACATCCCAATTTCAAGTATTACTAATATTGTGCAGCCATACTTTCAAAACTGATCACATTCATCTAACATACCTATACTGGTTAGCACGTACGGTTTTGCTATTGTCTGCTTAAAGTTTAATCAATCCAAGTGCTTCAAATTTTAAACTAGAAATTACAAATTATCAAATCTGTGATATGGAAAGTTTAGCTCAGCCAAAATAGGAGGCGACCAAACAAAGGACAATCTTGTTAGCAAGCTGCAGATTAAATCACTCTTATCTTGTTCTTGATTAACCTGCCTGCATATAAGCAAAATGGTGCCACAATGGTGTGCTGTGTGCTCCCTCTGTGCTTTTATTACCAACTTTTGTCACCCAACCTGAGGAGCAGGAAACCTTCCCTAAAATGTATGCAGAGGCTCATCTGCTGGGATTTAACCACCACTTGACCCAGAACAAGATTGTGGCTTATTTAATGGCCTGATCATTTCAGTCTTGAATGGCTGAAACAAGAAAACTAGATTATAAATGAGAAAATGCAACAAGATGCAGAGAACAAAAAAAAACAAAAAACAAAAAAAAACAGTGAAAACTCTTCTAGCAGCTGCATTTTTGT